AATTATGCATGGAAAGAGCTGTTTTTGCTGAAGTAACTAAAAATTAAAGCTTAAAAAATTAAAATAATTTTGTTGGCTCAAAATATCAAAATAATTATGCAGAACGCTTAAATATTGATGATAGTGTTGATAGATAGATGTTGTCATGAATAGTTTTAACACATTTTAACATTCTAACAACTAGTTTAAACGTCTCCTACATATAATTATTATAATGATCCAAACAAAAATTATTTTTAGATCTGTATCTAGTTAAATTTTTAGATACTTTAGCAAAATGGTTCTTTCGTGTATTAATTGCAATCATTTTTTTAGCTTAATGTAAATATTAGAGATCCTTAGCAAATTTTGAGTGGGCTTTTGGCTTTACCTTGATAAACTTTTAATTTGAAAAGTTCGGTAAAGTCGATAACTAATAACAGAATGTTTACACCATCTAAAAGTTTATGAAAAAAAAAATCTGTTATTTCTCAACGGAGATTGTAAATATCGAAGGAGAAAACTGCGTGTCTGTCTGTCTGTGGAGATGCGAGAGCGTAGACGGAAATGCTTCGGTGGCAGGAAACGAATCTGGGCCGTCGAATCAGAGAACGGCAAGTAGGTCACGAGAACGAGACGAATCACGCTCCGGAGATGTCGACGTCGTCGTCGTTGACAACGACAGCGACAGCGACGACGATGACGACGCTCATGAGATCGCTCTCTTCCACCGCGACGACAAGGCGAATCCTTTCACTTGGCATCTTGGCCGCGGAAGAAGTCCTTCTCTAGTCTTAGATGGACTAGACGCTTCCTGCCTTCACACGCTCAACGCACGAGAAATTTGAACTTCTTCTGTCCCGCAACAGCATCATCTTTGAAATCGCGGATTTACGTTCTAATTCCTTTATCACTTTCTCGTCTACTACTGGATCAAAACTGTATTTATATTAGTTGTATTGTGTGTTTAAAACGTTATATTTAATAAATACAACGTTTATTGATGTCATTTCATATACTGTATGCTATACAATATGAGAAAACAATATAAAGTCTCCCTTTATTATTCTATTATGGCGGAAAGTGAAATAAAAATGTCAACGATTTAAAATCTCCTAAATAGCGCCATTGGTGGAAATTTATGTTCTTGTTTTAAAAATAAGAAGAAGTAAAAATATTTAAGTCATCTCAGCGAACTAAACTATTGTCAATATTTATATCATTCTTATGATAATTTTATTTCGAATTAGCATTCTATGAGGTCATAGATGTAAAAAGCAATAAAAATGTCGCTCATACATTTTCATTTCACCTACATTTTTAGATTTTACAACTTGTTTCATTATTTTATCAAAGATATATATATATATATATATATATATATATATATATACACACACACACATGTATATTTCTCATCAATTTTGACAATGTAATATTTTTTTATTTTCGATCCGCGCGCATGCGTTATTTTCGCAGAAAAATAAAGCTTTGCAACTATGAATCTATCTTACTAGTCGAAAAGAAAATACGATAATTATAATGTGAGTGTGTGGTGTGTGGTGTGTGTGTGTGTGTGTGTGTGTGTGTGTGTGTGTGTATAATATATAGATAGATAGGTATCACTAAATCATAAAGTCTATTGCTTACCACTTCTTACACTCAAAATCTTAACTTTCTCTCTTTCTAATACTTGAATATATAATATATTTATCTTGTTTTAAATGCAAAAACTTTAAGCGATTTTAGGCAGCACGAATAAATCTATAGATTCGTAGAGGATCGATCGCGTGCGTGGTGAATTCGTTGGTTCAAAGGTGAAAATATTCCGCATTTGGTTGGTCGACGGCAATCGAATCGATATTTACGAAGGCGAAATAAACTCTACGGACTCCGCGTCGTTACGTCACGACGATTCAGTCTTCAGATATCACTGCGAGATATCGAAATCTGTTTCGTCGATTATTCATTCTCCTCCATTCCGCACTTTCCTATCTCTTCCTCTTTTTGACCGCCACGCTGATCGATCGTGATGAGAACGGAGATACATCTACTATCGTCGAAATTGCCGATAAGTAAACGAGGTCAAAGAAAAGGCCCTCATTGGAAGTCTAGTATGAAATCCGAGTCCGTAGATTGCTATCCGGTTGCTCTGAAGTAAAGGGTAAAATTTCAAAATCTCAGTTTGCTACTCTCTCGGTCAATTTTTTTCTTTACTTTTCATATCGTTATTGACGTCGGAATTTTAATCAAGCATCGTCCAACACATCGACCCTGCATGATCTGTTATTACCTATTATCGCTTATTGTTCGAATTCATCGAGGATTCTCGGGGAGTTTCCCAGCGGGGTTCGCTAATTCCGCCAATTACGTCGTTGTAATAAATTAGAGTTTGAGAACTTACGTGAGGATGGCTGACGGTAATGCAAGTGATGCTGGAGACCCTGCGCTTGATGATGATGGTGGTGGTGGGGCGGTCCCATCGTCGGGCCCATAGTATGATTATTGTGCTGATGGTGTGGCGAACTCCCCCGATGTGGATGATACTGGGAGGTGATAGGATGCTGATGAGGATGATAGGTGGGCGACAGGAAGCTTGCCGTCGACCCCGGATACACACCGGGGCTGTGGCAGGCCGATCTGCCGAGTGCTGCTATCAAGCAATCAATAAGATGCATTCAATAAAGCATATTTCGAAAATATATTTTTTCAAGTTCTTTCTTTTCGGAACTTCCGTTTAACGAAGTTTACGTTAAAAATCCCAATCCATCAATTTTACTCTTAAAACAACAATATTCTATCATGCAAAAGTATTTTAACGATAAATAATCTTAATTCTTTAAAATATTCAATGATTACAATTAGAAATATAACAATTATAAGTAGAAAGTGTAATTAAAAGTGACAATTTGTAAATCTATATAAGTATTATTAAGTTATTTTGATCAAAAACCTTCGACTGAAAATTCTTTGTTTTATACGATTCGGAATTTAAATTACAATTACGTTTAAGTTTTGTATAGATAAATAAAGACGTCTAAATAAAAATATTACTTAAAAAATTTTAAATTTTGTAATTAAATTTATAACGGATTATCTTCAAAAATAATTAAAATTTATATGACATTAGAAAAATTATATAAATTTAATGTTGCTTATTATTAAAGCTGGGAATTATATGCACGTAAAAACAAAAATATGCACATATTATATGCTTAATAAAATTTGGTAAAAATATGCAAAAATATGCAATATATATATATACGTTTATTAAATAAAAAATACATTAAATAAAAAGAAATATTTAAAAATGTATAATAAGATAAACAAATAACAAATTTAACTTGAAGCAAAAAATACAACATTGCATTAATATAAACGAACTTATTTGAATACAAAACTAAATCAAGAATATTTAATTTCTTTTCAGAACACTGTAAATACTTACAATGAGATATTTGCATAATGTATATTTGCAAAATATGCAATATATTTATTAAATAAAAACACAGAAAGAAATAATTGTAAAAATATAATATAATAAAATAAACAAATTAATTAACTTTGAGCAAAAAATATATAAAACAATATTAACACAAAATAACATAATTTGAAACATTAAAATTAGGTCTTAAATATTTAATTTCTCAAAAAATTATAAATATTAATGATTATAAATATGCAATTTTACAAGAAATATGCAAAAGAATACGTATATGCAAAATATGCAAAATAAAAGTGCGTTTTGCTTTTACGTAATTCGTAGATATACAAGCCGTTTCGAATTCATATTAATCTATAATATTAATATAATTATTATCAATTTCTCAAACTTGCAAATTTTTTGCAAAAGAAGATAAATAAAAATCTCACGAAAGATTTATTAATTATTATTAAAATATTTTTTGTTCAACATTTAAGACTTTCCTTTAATCTTTTTCCCACATATTATGTTAAACGCGTGAATGATGGGCAAAATATATAAAGATCGAGCTCACCCGACGACAGATGGGAGTGATGAGACGCCAGACTCGGCTGGAGGGATGAATTAGGATTGAGCCTTGCTTTCAGTAAGAGATTCGCGTCCTCGTTGCCGCCGGAGGACGTGCTGGACTCGACGTCGCTGACTCCGCTGTCCGCTGGGCTCGCTGGCAGTGATCCGCTTCCTGCTTCCATGCCATGAAACAAAGGGAAGAGACACGTCCTCTGTGATAAATAGCCGGCGGAGTTTACGGCTAGCGATAAGACGCGACACCGTCAATTAATCTCGCGCGATTCCGTTTCGCACGGAGAACAGCGCGATAAATAAAATAGAAGGCACTCGAGAGGATTGTATAGAGAAAGAATTGCGCCAGCCTCTGCGAAAATTATTATTTCGTTGAAAAAGAAGTTACACGCCAAGAACAATAACTTTATGTAGAGTTACAAGAGTCAAGCTTGTAATGTGAATGACATGTCCTTTTCACATTTTATTTCAAATAATATAAAAAATATTTAAATAAATAGCCGCTAAACTTTTATTTTTGTCATTCTTATATAAAATCACTGTATTTCTTGATATATTTGAAATAATATCTTTTTATTATCTATTTTTGTTAATCTAACTTCTTCAACAGAACGGGAAAGTCAGTGATGCTGAAACAGTATCATATTTTGAGATGAAAAAAATATAATGAAATAATAAATTATAATAAATTTTACTTAAAGAAAAATTATAAGATTAAAAATGGACTTCGTTCTCTAAAGGTTAATGAAATAAAATTATAAATAAAATTACAATAATTATAATTTCATTTTTACGATGTTTTCTATCGACAGTCATTCGGTATTTCATTTTGTGATTTATATATTAAAGTTATTCTCCATTTCTTTGTATATTCTTGAGCCACAAGTTTTATTTTTAATCTCTCTTTCAAAAAGTCATGTCTTTTAAGAGAGCATAATAATTTGTGACCGATATAATTCCTCGCTTCTGACGTCACCGACATATACATATAGCCGAAACAACCACCATATCGCATCGGTTTAAACATCCGATGAATACTTTATACCAAGTATACGTCGCAATTATCGAATCACCGCGTCGTTTTGCTTTCCACTACATATTACGCGGACGTGATAAATTAGCCATCGACCGATTCGGCTCTTTGCCAGGCCCTAAATTAAAGCCACGTACATGTCGCTTTCGTCTACCGCTTTAAACAAATTAGGTGTCCCATCGAGGTGGTCCAGCGACGTCTCTCGTTCTTCCGTTCATTCGGCTTTATCGAGCGTCGTCGAGCCATGCCGTGCCGAACGTGTTTTCGCGCGCGCCGTCAATTAAAGGCATCTTTATGCAACGAGCGAAGGTCATCCGGTCATTGGGTATGCATATCGCTCGCTCTTCCCACGGTACCTCTCCCCGTCTCTCTCTCTCTCTCTCTCTCTCTCTCTCTCTCTCTCTCTCTCTCTCTCTCTTTCTCCCTCGCGGCGCGGCTGACAGTCTCAAACGAATCCCAAAGGGTTCTGCACAAGTCATTGCTCTCTTTCTCTCCTGTTCTTTCCCTGTTATTTCCCTTTTTCTTTCTTTTTATCATCATCGTCATCATCATCATCATCATCATCATCATCATCATCATTATCACCGTCCACCTCGTCGTCATATTACGCAAGGCAATCATGCAAAACTGTCGCAAGCTGTCGCGAATCTCACCGATCGACCGGCGCTGCTTTATGCAACAATCGAGTCCAAGTATTTTAAGAACCGTCTTACGCCCGAATTCCTACCGAATATGCAACGCAACGGTCGGTTCGTTACCGGCGCGGTGGCGCGATTTTTACCGTTGCGTAACGCAACTTTGTGAAATCGACATTGATCCACAATTGTAATTTACAGATTGCAAACGCGGAAATTTGGCTCACGTCGTTATTACGCGATTCCTGCGTCATATTACAGATCATTCTTGAGAAATCGCCCGGAAAAAATTTTTTTTAATTTCTCTTCTTATTATAATTGCTATCACGGTTGATTATTATTCAATTAGCAGTAATAACACGATGCAATTATGCTCGACAAAATGACCAAGTGCATCAAACTGCAGTTGTCATTGTCACTTCGATAACAAAAAAAAACAATGTATACTATAACAATGTATACTATAAAAGTCACTGTGATCCAATTAACAGATATTGATATCTTATTTTATCCGGCAAATGTCAATCCGTAAAATGTCAATCTCATTTGTGGACAAAACGTCTTTGTTGATATCTCATAATACAATATAACTATGAAATTTTTAGCATATCACGTATTTCAAAAGAGAATCTCTAATAAAAGTCTAAAAACGATTGAATTAACAGAGTCAGATAAACATAAATTATTACTATTTGTCCTTCTACTTTATTTGTATTTGACTTTACTTCTTTCTTCATTATGCATATGGATATTAAATTTCACTAAAAATATATTAACACATTTTTTTTTTCAAGTTTCTTCATTTTTCTTTATACTATCTATATTGTATATACAGTATATACCATCATCATATTGTTCTCTTACTTCAAAATTGACATAACTAAAAAAATTAAATTTTTCAAAAAAAGAAAAAAAATTTTTAATTATTGATTAATTAAATAATAGTAGTAAAAAGAATATATTTTTAGAAATGAAACATGATTGAATAGCATTTTTATTATTTTCGTTTCGCAACCCTTTTGAGTTGTGACAATTTTGATAGCTTACAAAATTATAACAAATATTAAATAATTCATTAAAAGTGATATAACTCGAAATAACGCAACAGTTTATATTTATCTTAATCAATTAAACTGATTAAATTCAAAATAAACTAATTTCTTCTTAAAACTTCGATTAACAAAACTATCTTAACTCTAAATAGCGTTTTCGAGTGCAGGAAGTTTAAATTCAACCCAGATCGATTAATATAAAAGTACTATGATCTCAATCAAAAACCAAAGTAAATTGACGTTATTAATCCGATTGAAGAAAAAATGTTTTCTAAAAATTTTTATTTACAAAAATGACAGCACGTAAAATGTGTCATTTTTGTACATGGGATATTATGATTTCTTTGAAAATCTCCAGCACGAGTACAAGTATCCGTCTGGTGAATAAATTGAAGTTAAAATAACTCGAAAACTACATTTGTTTTTAGTTGTGTTATTTTTCAAGTAAAAGAACAATATATTATTCTAAATCTCATTGCAGAACTTTAAAAAAAAAATCAATCAAAATTCTTATCGAAATATTATGTTGGCTAATCTATTATCGAAAGCAATCATTGGCAAAAACTACGAAAGACTATGATTCTCAACAATCAAGTCTCAACAGCATTATTAAGCAGTATTATAAAGCCTCGTTGATATGTCTTCAGGGTCTTACCTGGCGTATTTGTCGTGGCGATAGCGGCAGTGGTATAAGGCGGTTGGCCCATCTGTGCGTGACCGGCTAAGTGTCGGCCATATCCATTTTGCAGCCCCAGACTATGCTGCTGGGGATGCTGAGAGAGGATACCATGGAGCAGACGGGTTCCTGTGCTACTAGTAGTCGTCGCGCTGGTGGATCCTGGTTCCACTTTTACACTTGCGAGGCCTAGCTGTTCTTTCTCGCTCGGGTCATGCGGTTGGACTTCCCTGGTATCCACTGTAACAGAGATAAGAAGAAGCATTGTTTTTAGATAAATAGATATTAATCTTGCTTGATATTATAGATTAAAACATTAGAATTATTGTGGGTAAACGATAAAATAAATGAAATGTCGAAAATTGTAACAGAGTAGAAATAAAAATCAATTTTAAAGGAATGAAATTGTATGTGTGTTTATTATATTAGAACATAAAAAAAATTGAATATTAGAAATTAGAACAAATATAAGAACAAAGTTTCCATGTATATTTGAAAGTTGAAAGTTTTTAAATTTATACTAAAATTGCAAATGAATTTATTAAATAAAGCTATTGTTTTTATATTTCTAAATTTTCTACTCTCTCTGTTTATAAAATATCGTTTTACATTACAGAAAATTCTACACTGAGAGAAAAATGTTTAGTATTTGTAACTATAATTATATATTATGATTATTACTGCTATAATAATAATAATAATAATAACTATGTGTATAGTTTTAGCAACAAATGTATACAGTTGGCAATTTAAAATGACTATAATTATAGTTATTATAATCATAAAATAGTTGAAATTAAAATGATTCAAGTGACTATAATTTTACAATTATATTTTGGGACAACCATATTTTTTTATAGTGAAGTATGTCAAATATTAATCTCGTAAACACATAAAAAAATAATGCTAACAAATGTTATTAGAGAAATTAAAATACAGCATAGTTTTCATTCGCTATGTCACCAGAGCATTCGTGAATTGTGCAGGCTCTGTCATAGAATGAAACACCGATTTTTCATTAATGAAAAATAATGTTCCGCGAGGTAAGTCACTTGTTGTAATTCGTATTGCACCGCGCGTTGCTCAATCCAGATTAATTGTTGAATACAGTTCATCTGTTGGAAGATAAACATATCTTCTCCACGGTATAATTAAGCGTAGTCATAGGCGGATAAAAACATTCTCACGGGGAGAAGAACGACAGAAGGAGAAGGGAAAAAAAGTCGTGGCTCGGGAGGCGTTCTCGAGGAACTCGTGCTGGCTGCCGAGAGGAAGTGAAAGCCGGCGTCTCTCCTTGACCCACTGCAACGTTTCTACCTTCCTTTCAGGCGGTGCCAAGCTGCGGCGGCTTCATTAAGCAATTTCTCGCGATAGCGGGTCCAAAAAATCCGCCATGGAAAATGATGATCGATCAATGCGATTCGACTGACAATGAGACACTCCTCTTGCGAATTCTTTCGATCTTCTGATCGCAAGGAGAGCACAAGAATTCTTTCTTCTCTTCACTTTCGAAAGATCGATGAAAATTAGGCAACATGAATCTCTCAATGGTGCACGTGTCTCGCATTGGAGTTACTATGAAGAAATATTACGGAGATATTCGATGTCCACTGAAAATTGACCAATCCAAATAAATCCGTTTTGTATGACCAATATTTATGGAAAGTATTCAGCTCTATATATTTCTACACCGTTGTGACTAAATACTAGTATGAATTTATGAGTCCTTGCAAATCTAATTAGTATTCTCTAATAATTCTACGATCTAATTAGTATATTCTAATAATATATGATACTAAATAATTAGAATTATTGAAGAATTATTATCATCTAATAATTCTAAACAGAATCTAGACAGATTATATACATGTATATATACATACATATATACGCCCCCCCCTCCACACACACACACACACACACGCGCGCGCGCGCGCGCGCACAAATGCATTTTTATATATATA